GCCGCCGTCCCCTGGAGAAAACAAGGTAAAGATTGACATTTTTTACTATGGGGATAATTATGCATGTCCAAACCCTGTTTAAAGGGATGATGTGTCGGTGCGTAAGCGGGCTGATGCACCGATGAACCTGATTGATTGGCCAGTGCATTACTGCGTCCCTGGCATGCCAGGGTGCAGGCAGGGGTCTCGGCCCCTATACACAAACCTAACCCTAACCCTAACCCTAACCCTAACCCTAAACCGTAAACCCTAACCCCTAACCCTAACCCTAACCCTAACCCTAACCCCTAACCCTAACCCTAACCCTAACCCCTAACCCGTAACCCTAACCCTAACCCCCAACCCACTTCCGGTCCCTAAACTTAACCCCTACCCAAACCATAACCCTAATCCTAAACTCCAGGCCCTAACCCCAAACCACAATTCCAACCGTATTCCTGCCCTAACCCCAAGTCCACCTCCGGCCCCTAAACTTAACCCTGACCCCCAACCCCTTCCCTAACCCCAAAACACTACAAACCATAACCCCAAACCACTTCCCTAACCCTAAAACCTAAACTCCAACCCTAGGCCCTGCCCTTACCCACAACCGATCTCCGACCCCTAAACTTAACCCTTTCCCCAAACCACATATCCTACCCTTAGTCCTTACCTATCCCCCATTCTCTGCCCCTACCACAATTTCCAAACCCTTACCCCAATCCTCAGCCCTAACCCCAAAATAACCCCCATGTCTAACCTTCTCATACCCCTAACCTTAACCCTAACCACTAACCCTAACCGTAACCCCTAACCCTAACCCTAACCCTAACCCCTAACCCTAACCATAACCGTAACCCCAAACAACCTTTGACGGGCTGAATAGCCCACACTTGTCTGTCGTTTTTTATGTTCTTATGTACTGTTCATAAGTATGAAGAATTAAAGTGACAAAACATACTTACGATATGTATCGTAATTTTCTGATTACAATAACCACTAAATTTCTCCCTCACCATGGCCTTTAGTGATTCAGGATATACAAGTCGTCTTCTACATCTTAATCTCTGAAATATAATATAAGCAGCATGTCTTTGATAATAACATACATGGTTTCTATATATCAGACCTATTAAAAGAAAATTTCAAACCTCACTATTCCATCTATGTCCTCAACATATTTCGGAAGTGGCCTGAGAACCTGTCACAAGAATGTTAACAGAGATTACAATTTTTGTATAGGTAAGATAGTGCAGTCAACAGAGGTCAAGGTATTGGTTAGACTTACCTTGGGGCTATCTTCCTCTTCCTCGTCATCGTCCAAAACAAAGTCAAAATCAATGTTCTCTTCCTCCTCATTTTCACCACCTTCCTCCTCATCTTTATCCATTTCCTCTAGATCTTCCTACCCTTCTCCCTCTTCTTGTGTCACCTCAACCACTTCTTCCACAAAAGCAACAGGTATGTAGACAATACTATCTAGAAAGACACATTGTTACTGTCATGATTATTATTTGTACTTTAATCTGTAGCTGACAACTACTTGTTTCTTGCTGAGGTTCACATGCAAGGTCTTCCTCCAAAATGTGACTGGGCAGTAGGACTGGCGAAACACCATCTGCCCCCTCCTGGTCATCATCATCAGAAGACAACACCTGGGGTCTCAGCCTCTTGTAAGGTGTACTGGTTTTCAATGCCTTACTTTTACCAATACCTAAGGCCTCATTCACAAGCACACGACCCTGGTGCAGATCGTTCACTTCCAGTTCGGCGACATAAAACTTATCTGCTGTTATAAGACTGTGACACTTAATTTGGGCCACTAGTCTGCGCTGGTCTTCAGATAGGTTTCTCTGTGCCTGCAGACAAGATACATGATCTGATGACTAGCGCTAGAGAAGATAATAAGATGAAACCAGAAAACACATTTCCAATCAAAAATCGCTTAGTAGGACGAAGCCAGAAAAATACGTTGCAAATCCGGAATCGCTAAGTTAGCAAGATGAAGCCAGAAAACAAAAACTACAAATCAGAAATTGCTAAGTAGGTAGGACAAAGCCAGATAAATCATGTCGCAAATCCGGAATCGCTAAGTTAATAAGACAAAACCAGAAAAGACATGTTGCAGATCAAGAATTGCTAAGATAAAACCAGAAAAGATGTCATAAATTAGTAATCTATCATACACTAAGCACATCACTATTGCTTTAAATTTAGACGTACACAGGTCGCAATGGCAGAGCGAATCTCTGTGACGCTGAAGCCCCTGCACATCCCACAATGCAGGCATGTTTTTCTCACAAGCTCGCAGAACTTTTTTAGTGGCTCTCCGGAGGAAGAAAAGAAAAATGTCCCTGGATTGTGGTGGTATCCTGATAGTCTTCATCTCATTTGCACAAACTGCTGCATCCACAAGTACTCCCTGCTGTTGAGGGCAAGTTTTGCCCTCCCGAATGATCGACGTCTTGTGGCTGGACACCTTTAATAATGCAACAATGTGTTACTCAGCATGGTGGTTCCCTGGTTGCCGCTACAGGTGGCTGCCCTTTGCAGACAGCTTGCACTACAAAGAGCAAGACAATAAAGGATATATTATTATTATTAAAAACCAAGCAGGTCAATTCACAACTTAACTATCCCAAAGCACATTACATTGGTGTGTCACGATCTAAAAATCAGTACAATATCAATTTTTTGGTACTCATGTTGATGATATATAGATTATCTATCTCCTGGCACTCATTAAATTAAATTAGTGTGAGGTTTACAAGCACACTCACACGGTGCCCAGTACAGATAAATATATACGTTGCCAGCGTGCCTATTGCCTCATTTCTTGTGTTTATGCAACTGTGGTTTTCAGATAGTTCATCTGTGAGCA